AAGACAGTCTGTTTCATCCCAATGCATCTTGTCAAGGATAGTGTCCTGAATCAGTGAGTGCTAAAACCTGGCAGATGTTCCCGCACCTCCGATCACTGCACAGGCTTCATCTACAGCATTCCTGGCTCAGGTTCCTAACCAGGAAACCTGCAGAGCGGCGACGTGGTCCTCCATACACACTTTTGACGCACATTATGCAATTACCCAGCAGGCCAGAGACGATGCAGCCTTCAGACGAGCAGTACTCCAATCAGTGGACAGCTCCGACCCCACCTCCTGAACTTGGCTTGAGAGTCACCTGGTTGGAATGGACATGAACAAGCACTTGAAGAAGAAAAAACGGATACTCACTTCTCGTAACTATTGTTCTTTGAGATGGTGTTCATGTGCATTCCAATACCCATCCTCCTACCCCTCTTTCAGAGTAGCCAGCTAGAAGGAACTGAAGGGGTGGCAGGTCGGCAGGGATCTATATTGAACGCCACAAAGGTGCTACTCCAGGGGGAGCCCAGACCAGCCCAGCGGATGCTGCTTCCGGCCACCATGCATGCGTACACCTGATTGGAATGGACATGAAAAATGCATCTCGAAGAACAACAGTTATGAGAAGTGAGTAACCATTTTTTCTGCTCAGCAGCAGAAAACCATCCACCAGGGCCACTTATCTAGTTAAGTAGAAGAGGTTCACTTGTTGGTGTGCCCAGCATCACACACCTCCGCTCCAAGCGCATATACCACTTGTCCTGGAGCACCTCCTTCACCTGAAACAACAGGGCCTGGCAGGGTCATCCATCCGGGTACACCTCACTGCTATCTCGGCCTTCCGCCAGGGAGAGATGAGGCGTTCCATGTTCGCCAACCCCATGGTAGGGCGTTTCCTCAAGGGCCTGGAAAGGTTATATCCACAGACTTGACAACCTGTGCCTGCATGGGACCTTAATCTGGTCCTCTCCAGACTAATGGTGCCCCCTTTCGAACTGTTGGCGACTTGCTTCCTTCTGTATTTGTTGTGGAAGGGGGCATTCCTGGTTGCCATCACATCAGATAGTAGTGTGTCTGAGTGGAAGTTCCTATCCAGACGGTGTTCCTAGCCAGTATGTGGGAAAAACCCATGTAGGAGAGCTTGTGTCCTCAACACAACTACAGTTGAGTCTGAAATGTTTTGAGAAGTTTTAAGGAACTTTAAGGATTTTTTTTTTAAATTGAGTGAAGGTCTAAGTCTTGATAAAAGCAGGGACTCAATATGTTTTCTTGAAGGTTTAGCATTTTGAGATGAAAGAATGACTTGGGTTCAAATACAGACTTTGGTTACGTCAAGGCTGAAGTGCCAAAGGTGGGGGCCCGCAAGGACTCTAAAAATTAATACTCGCCACTCCAGGCTTGTATTAAACTCCCAAGGTTACAGTTTTTCTCTGACCTTGGATGGGTAGATGCTGCCACCACTCAAGTGCAAAACCCCTTTGAGAACTAAGGAAGGCACACTTGGGAATTCCTTCTTGTCGCATACCCTCAAGCCCTTTCACCCCTCTTCCGGGGAAGAGCTGAGAAAGAAAAACAAAGGAAATAAGCTGTTGCCTCCAGCTAATTAAACAACATGCACAAACCTCTTAAGATACAAAAATCCAATCGTGTTCTTAAAAAGATAAATTTTATTAAAAACAAAAAGAAAGAAAATACATGTGGAAATTCAGGGTATTGCTAGTTTTTAAAAAAAAAAACTTACAAAGATTAAGCATCAAGAATAACATTCTTGAGTCCAGTTTATAGGTTACAAGCAAAACAAAAGCATTTGGGGTTAGCACAGAGGAGTTCACAAGCCATAAAGAAATAAAAAAGAGATAAACCTAATCACGTCTTCCAAGACATTTCCTGATGTACTTACATATCTGGGGTTTCAAATGAGTAGTGTCTAGGTGTGATCTGATGATTTTTCATACCTGTCCCCAAGCTTCTTACAGCATCACAGCTCTGTTCCCTCTCTCTGGAGAACAACAACAGGCAGACAAAGGTGAAGTCTTGTTTTAATTTTAAAAAGTTTTAACCTTCCCATTGGCTCTTTTGGCCAGGTGCCCACTCACGTTTTTTTTAAACCCTTTACAGGTATAGCAAGTAGAGAACAGCTACTAAGAGGGATTTTATAGCTAACTGGCTGGCTGGGTCCATAAAAGGGATCTTACTCTCCCCCCCCCTTCATTATCACAGGTTATAAGTGAAAAACTAAGTTGTTTAGGCTCATCCTAATCCATGTTTTTGCACATCACAAACCTACTCTTCACCTTTAGAAGCTGATTAAAATGTAGCCCTGGTCAGTAGTCAGGCAAATTCTTACCAGTTGGCTACATGGTGATCTATGTGAAATATGTTGGTCTCTGTCCAATTTCCAGTAAACAGTGTCGAGATCACAAATTTAAAATTTTTATTAAAGCTAATGTTAAAAAAATTATATAATACATAGGTTGGGAAAACAGTGTCTGTGCATCTGTTTATAGTGCTTAGTAAGTACATAATCAGCAATAACCCAAATTTAGGTGAATAGATTTAACAATACAGTTTAGATATTGGAATCTGAATACTCGGGTACATCACTCATGAAAAGTTGTACAGAGATTTGGTTGTAGAAAGCAAAATATATCAATGAGTGGAGATTGTCCCTCAGTAATTGAGAATTAGGTTGGTTGTCTATTTAGAAAATACAATCCATGAGGAAAGTATTTGTTACTTTCCTGACTGCACTTCTCATCGGCACTCCAGCTCATCCCCCCCCTGCTATTGCCAATATTGGTGATGTGTTCTATGTAGCCGTCCCTCGACGCACCTGATTGCGTCTGACACTATGAGTTGCCGCATCAGCCAAGCGTAGAGTTGACCGATTCCGCATTCTCTCAGAACTTGCTCATTACTGGGGTCCCATGCGCCTAAGGCTCCAACAATCAGTGCATGTGTCTGGACCTGGTAACCCTTTGCTCTCAAGATTTTGGCCCGAGGGGCATATTTCTCTACCTTTCGAGCTCGGGCATTATGGAAGGCCGGGGTCCTGTTCTCGAAGGGCACTGTGACATCCACCATGATGATCTTCTTCCAGTCCTCGTTGGTGATGACCGTGTCCGGTTGCAGTTGGCTGTTGATTCCGGGGATGGCGGAGTTTATGGCAACCTTCCCCACAGGTGGTGGGATGGCTCTGGCCAGGCGATCTTGGATGACGTTGTGTCGCAGCTGCCAAGCTCTCGAATGGGGCTTGCAGCTACACAGGATGTGGGGTAGCATCTCCTTGGTGTAGCCATACTTCCTGCATCGCTTGTCCCGATTCCCATGGCAGACAGCTCCGTTCAGTGGGACGCAGTTGAGCCAGGTCCTGTGGATGAACCTCCAGATGGCAAATCGTGTGAAGCTGCCCCTGGGGAGGAAGTGATTGCTGGCGTTATTAAAGATGGCCCGGTTTTAGCTGACTTAGGGGTCCTTCCTTGGTCTGTCCATCCCAGATCTAAGCTTTCTCTCTAGGGGATATGTCAATCTCCTTTATATTCAGAGTAAATATTAAAAGCCTAAGTGAGTCAGCAAGAATTAACCTGCGGCTACTTGAAGTGTTCCTGCACCTGTTAGCAAAGTGAAATAACAGAAGTATCTTACAGAAGTGAAGGATTGAATGAGCATAGAGATGAGACTGTCCTCTAACCCTAAGTGGTCCCTTCAAACAATAAGGCAGAGTTTGCACTGTTCCTGACCATGCTATACCTTTTCTGTAAATAAATCAGTGATTTCATATTCTAGTTATTCGGCTGCTTTTCACAAGCATCCCATTCACACATATGATTAAAAATAAAAATCAAAAGAATTAATCAGCACATAATTCCAAGTTTTGACTCGAGAGGCCCAGGACTGGAATAACAAGGGTATTACAGATCAGAATTAAAGTGCACTGACAGAACTGTGGGGGGAAGCTTGCACAGCACATTCCTGCATTATGCTCGGCTCTAGCCAGTGTTGCTATTCAGTCACTTTCATGAGCACTAAATCAGTTACAACTTAAAAAGCAAAACAGAGAATATATAAATTAGAATACCAAAAAAGCTTCAAATAATGATCAGTAATCATGGCTTTCACACTTTTTCTATCACTAACCAGACTTCATTTTGGAACTCAATCTCTTCATACAGTGTGATTGTCTTTTGCAAGAATTGAACAAACACTTTTGGGGGATAGCTTTGGATAGTCAATAATTCATCTATATAATTTTATTAATAATTGATGAGCCAAAGAAACAATTGTCCTAGAAAAAGCAATTGAAAGAAAACAAGTAGTATTCTGATCATAATACGGAAGTTCAGCAGAAAACATTTAAAACATATTATAAAGTAACAAAACAAACTCATCACTCAGTGTTAATGTAAGTTCTGTCTCATTCCTTTTGGTTTTCTCCATTCTACCTTTTTCAGATGTTCATTGTTTTGTAAAGTTCATAATGCTCAAAATATAGTTTTAAAAATACTTAATCTGGTATTGGATCATAGTTATGCAGATTCATCAACTCCATTTGCTGTCCATATATGAAATCTTAGATTGGAAGAATTATCACTTCAGTAAATTGCATTTCACAAGATAACGTTATGTTTGTTTTGAGATCCCTCTGCTTTTTATTTCCTTTAAGTGTGGTTCTTGTAGTAAAGTATTATGGATGATACAATGTTAAATTAATGAATCAAAGTATAAAAGCAGGGTCCCTGTTCTGGTTGTCTCGTGCGTTTGACATATTTCTAATGGGCTCTGAAAAGAAACCATTTATCATATTCTTTTGTCGTCTTTGCTAATGTAAAGAAGAGCTTTTTTAACGTTCCAATTGACTTTTAAGCCAAGTTCTTCATACCAAACTTAACAAGAGTGAGGCAATACATTCCCTTTGTTTACATCAGAGATTTACTGCCCATTAGCTTTGACTCTGTTTCTCCTGAGTGGCTTTACATTCTTAGAAGATTAGACTCATGTAAATATTGTTCTCTTTGCAGTGAAGAACTACGCAAAGAAGTACGCCAGCTGAAACGTGAACTACTAGAAGCAAAGCAAAAGAGAGAAGAAAATTCTACAAAATCTAAAGAAAAAGAGGAAGGTAAGCACATATCATAGAAGGTGGTAACTGTAAATGTTTTAGTTAGTTTCTCATCTTCAACATCTAGGATTATTGGGTTTCATGTGGATGAATTTAAACCAGATTGCTGAATTGGATACTCTATAAGAAAAAAAATATTCCTTAAAAATTTACAATAGGAGCAACAAAAGTATACAAGTGTATAAATAAAATATAAAATGGCATTCTGTACTGTATCAAACAAATTTATTTGTATGTTTGTTCCATGATATACATTGATTGGAGAGCTGCTGCAGCTGAAATTTCCATTGCTGTTACCCTATATTACTGTATTCCCTAACAAAGATATATCTGTTACAACCTGTAATACAGCAAGATAATAGGCAGGTGCCTAACTTTAAGCATGTTAATAGCTCCATTGACTTCAAACTGCTACAACTCCTATGAATGACAGAACAAGGAGTAATGGTCTCAAGTTGCAGTGCAGGAGGTTTCGGTTGGATATTAGGAAACCTTTTTCACTAGGAGGGTGGTGAAGCACTGGAATGCATTATCTAGGGTGGTGGTGAAATCTCCTTCCTTTGAGGTTTTTAAGATCAGGCTTGACAAAGCCCTGGCTGGGATGATTTAGTTGGGGATTGGTCCTGCTTTGAGCAGGGGGTTGGACTAGATGACCTCCTGAGGTCCCTTCCAACCCTGATATTCTATTCTTCTTCTAATGATTTCAGTGGGACTATTCACATGTGTAAAATCAATTGCTTAAGTACCTTGCAGAATAGGGACCATAGAAAATATCTGCAGCTGCACAGATTGCTCTGGCAAAGTTAATGAAAAATATGTGTTTTGTTGTATCCTTAACATTTTTCTTTGCTATAATGATTTTGTTGAGCTGAAACCACTGTTGTGGCAAAATTTAACTGGAAGAACATTTGATATAACATGAATCCAGTTCCGTTGCCACCCCTGAATCTGTTCATTCTTCTTTGAGTGATTGCGTATGTCCATTAGACTAGGTTGTGTACATCTTATGCACAGGTGCTGGAGAGTTTTCTTTAGTAGTACCTGTACTGGGGGGCTCACCTCTACCCTAGTATTCTCGTGCTCTGAGCTGAGGATATAAAGAATGGAGCCTCCCCACCCATCCTTCAGTTCCTTCTTACTGACCATGGCTGGTGGTCAAAGCATGTCGTCTGTTTGTTCCTTCAGCAAACAAACCATTTTTAGTTAGTTTCTTGTTGTCAGTTATTCTTGTTGTCAGTTGGTACTCATTTTCAGGTCTTTGAGCTCTTTCTTTTGTCCTTCTTTTCTGTTTCTTTGCCAATTGTCCACTGTAACCCAATCACAGGCTGGAAAGGGTTTAATAGCTAATTAATTATGACAGGTGTCATATGTACCTGATTACTTGTTTCTCAACCAGATGGGTGGGACTGGAAGACATCAGGTGATAACTAAACAGATACCCGTTCCTCATAAAAGGGGAGAGGGCTCAGTCTGAAAAGGAGAACCCAAAGGGACTCCAGTGAAGAAGCCTGAGCCAGAATCTGCAAAAGAGCAGAGCCTTCAGAGAGACTCATTCTGAGGAGCCAGTACTCAGCTTCAGAGCTGGAGAAGACTCCAGAATAGCGTAAGGAGATTGAAGACAGAGACCAGAGAGAGGTAGATTTGTTGAGAGACTTTGATTAATAGTTCGAGCTTTCGTTGCCCCAAAAGAGGTTGGACTTCAGATGTGTTTCAGTTAGAGGGGTGAATAGTGCACAAAGACAGATGATCTGCAGGTGGCACTAGAGATGCAGATTCCTGAAACATCATGCTTTGGCACAAGGGAGGGCTGTAATGGGACGTGCACAGTGGTGAGCTGGAGCCGGTTTGCACCGGTTCGCTAGAACCGGTTGTTAAATTTAGAAGCCCTTTTAGAACCGGTTGTTCCGCGAGGGACAACCGGTTCTAAAAGGGCTTTTAAATTTAACCGGCCAAAAGTGGCGCCTTAGGCGCTGACTCCACGGGTGCTCCAGCCCTGGAGCACCCAAGGGGAAAAAAAGCACCGGCAGCTCCCCGCCCCACCCCCGGCCCCAGCTCACCTCCGCTCCACCTTCTCCCCTGAACGCGCCGCCCCGGTCTGCTTCTGCCCCCTCCCCGCGGCTTCCCGCGAATCAGCTGTTCATGCGGGAAGCCGGGGCAAGCTGAGAAGCCAGCGGTGGCTTCCTGCTCAGGCCCAGGGAGGCGGAGGTGAGCTGGGGCCGGGGGCGTGAGGGAGGGCCGCCCGCGCCGCAGCAGGAAACCCTGGGGGGCGCGCAGGGGAACCACTCCCCGCCCCAGCTCACCTCCGCCACCCTCGGCCTGAGCGGGAAGCCGCGGCCTGCTTCTCTGCCCTCCCCAGCTTGCTGCCGAACAGCTGATTCGCGGGAAGCCGGGGGGAGGGTGCGCGGAAAAACAGAGCGGGGCAGTGGGTTCAGGGGAGGAGGCGGAGCGGAGGTGAGCTGGGGCCGGGCGTGGGGAGCTCCTACCGAATTTTCCCCATGGGCGCTCCAGTCCCGGAGCACCCAGGGAGTCGGCGCCTAAGGCGCCACTTTTGATGTGATCAGTGGGGGAGTGGCAGCTCCCCCTGCTCCCCCCCCCAGCTATGCTCCCCTGCCCCTAGGAGCCAGAGGGACCTGCCGGATGCTTCCTGGGAGCTGCCCCAGGTAAGCACTGCCGGGACTCCCCACCTCGCCCCCCGGCAGGTGCTCTGGCTCTTAGGGGTGGGGTGGGCACCCACTATGGTGGCCCACAAGACCCTCCTGCCCGGTTCTGGGGGCAGTCGGGGACAGGGGAGGGGGGTGGATGGGACAGGGGTCCTGGGGGGGGCGTCAAGGAACATGGGGGGGTTGGATGGGGCAGGAGTCCCGGGGGGCAGGGGTGGGCAATGACCCCCTCGTGGGGTGAGGAGGAAACCCATTGTTAAGATTTTGGCAGCTCATCACTAGGCGTGCACACCATAATATCCATTGTTGGTAGCAGTGGACTCTGCCTGGTGCTGTGGGAGACTATTCCAATGTCCCCTGGCTTCAAACTCTTCTCCAAGAGTCACAAACTGATGCTGGTGACTGGCCCTCACTCTCATAGCCTGAAGTGCTTAGGTGAGGGTCACATCAGGGACAGGTGTTTGATTTCCCAAGACAAGAACTAAGGAGCAGAGAGAACAATCCAGGTTTTTCCTCTTGGAGGCCATTGGTACTCTCAACAAGAGAGAGTTCCTTCCTCTCCAGGAGTGCTCTCCTGGCCTTATCTGAGGATAGAGATGGGAAGAGATCCTCTTTGCCATACCTCAAAGAGGCACAAATGCTTGGGATATCCGCAACTGCCAAAGCAGAGAATGACTTCCACATCAGAGTCCTTGGTGTGGGGGGACTCAACCTCGGAGGCTAGCCACTCAGGTATCAAAAGTAGTACACGCCCTTCAGCCTACTCCTCCCTGGAGCTGCTGTCACATTTCAGGACAACTGCACCTGTATTTCTCCCCTAAGGTCCAGCAAGGGCCCCCACTCTAGGCTTCCAGCTACCCAGCCATTGGCTCTCTTGAAGACACCCACCTCTCTTCCTTCTGACTGGGCATTTCCAAGCTGTACAGTCCCCTGACTATACTGTGAAACCTGCAGCAAAAGACAGGCTGCGTAAGGAGCCCTCATTTGCCTTCTCTTCAGAGATGGTACACAGTGTAATTGCCACACAGCTCTTTCTAAGAAAGCACGTTATAGTCTTAAAGTGAAAGCATTGAAGAGAAAACACCTTAGAAACAATAAAAGAACCTACATGTGTGTTAATAAGCTTACCAGAGATCACCCCAACTCCAACATCAGTTCTGGCATGTGAGCAGTCCTTCAAAAACCCCCACCCAAGTGTTTTCATAGATTCAGGTTCATAACACCCTTTGCTCATAACAAGAACCCTCATGATTCTGTAAGTCACTCATTTATCCAGTTTGGGGCTTTGAAGAGACCGTGAATAGGTAATCAGCCAGAGAGTGGTTTTCTGCTCAAGGTTCAGCTTCAAAACGATGGATTCGGAGGTGGGTCGTTTGCATTCCCTTCACCCAAGTTTCTCCTAGGAAATTCATTTCACACGTATTGTCCCAAAAAGTCCTCCGGCGTTCCTAATAGTTACCAGAGATGGTTTCTCTCCTAAAGAAATTCCATACAATCCTATTATAGTACATAAACTTTTGTAGTTTTAATACAGTGGACTCCTAAAATATTTGATTCAGTAAGGTTTAACTTAATCCCATAAGGTTTGTCCAGGATATTGCAGGATATTATATCTGTCACAGCCATATACTAGTGGCTTGACGAGGTCAGAGCTGTTGACTCCAGGGCCGTCAAGACAGACTACTTTCTTGGCACAGATGTTGGAGCCCTCACCTCTGTTCCAAGCCAGGCACAGGCTCATTTCAATAGTGATTGCCTCAGAGGCATACACAGCTGTGAAGGATCTCCTAAGCCTCTCAGTACCAGCCTTGCTGATTATTCAGGCTGACAGTGCCCTGCCAGACCTGTCACATGTGGTGCATACATTGACTCCCACATCAGGATCTTTTATGGCACCAGCAACTTCTGGTACTACTTCCAGCAATCTCAGTGCCAGCTCCAAGACTAACAGTAACTACTCTGCTGCAGCGCATGGTACCAATAGCTTGGAAGCCCCTGATGTCATCTGAATGGAATTCCATTCAGGTCTAGAAACAATTGTCCTTTGGCACCACACTAGTCCTATCATTGGTCCTACTGGTTACTGTGGGGAATGCCTCCAGCATCTAGAGCCTCTGTACTACAGAAATCAATTCCTAAGGAGGGAAGTCTCCCTGATACCAAAAGACCATCCAAAGTCCGTACCTGGCAACCAGTACACAACAGAAACAAATCCCTGATGGAGGAAGTTTCTCAATGCAGTACCAATAGACCACTTGATGTCAGTACTGAGGTTCTGTCAGACACCGAGGGTCAGCAATGTTTGCTGCCGGCTTCAGACAGGCCTCCAGCGTCAATAGT